GGATTGTGGGACATCAGAGCGGTCGCGCAGAGCAAATACGTAATCCCAAGCTTCGTCGGTGAGCTGATCGGGCTTGACGCCGAGGGGACCGGGCTCCTTTCCGAACATGTCCTTGTGTAGAAGATGGGCAAAAGAGTAGTAGGCCTGGTAGATTGTGCTGTCGGACAAACTCTCAACCATCACACTTGGATCCCAGGGTACCTTGGTGCCGAGACCATAGGAGCGAGCACACGCCCAGATGCTGAGCCAGTCGACAACTCGGAGGAATTGGTTCTTCGCCTCAGGGTAGTAGAGGTTTAGTTCGCCCTCGATGTGTGAGCGGACCTTCTCGGCCCATTCGCCGTCTCCACCATTCGCTTCAGTGCCGTAGTTCATGTACCATTGGTCGAGAAGAGCTGCAACACAGTCGTCACCACTTCGGCTCATGACCTTGCCGTCGGGTTCAGCGTACGGGAAGGCGTGACCGGCCTCGATGAGCTGCTTGCGAACGAGCGGCTTCGCTTCTTCGACCGTCTTTCCACTGAAGTCGCCGTGTACCATCTTGCCCTTGTAGAATCCCTCCTTGTAAGCCTTCTCTTTAGCATCGGCAAGCTTTGCGGAGTCCTTGGGTGACTGGATCTTCATCTCCTCTACCAGGCGTTTCGCTGTGAGGTTACCGTAAGAGGGGGTTTCGATGATAGGCAAGAGATCGTCGAACTTGACCCATTCCTTCTGGATACCGTAGTACTCGGCTTTCTTGGCAAGATCAAATGAGGTAATGTAGTCATCTGGTGAGTCTGATGGAACACATGTGACGACAGCCGTACCCTTGGTGTCCTTGACGGTCTCCATAGGAAGGATGTAAACATCCTTGTGAACAGAGAGAGGAGCGTTGACGACAGTGCCGACAACATCCTTACCGGGGAAGGTAGCAACGATGGAGTACTCGCCCCACTTGGCAGTGGTGCCTTGGTATGCCATGTTCCTTGCAGCTCTCTCGCTGAGGACGTAGTATTCGGTGTCGGTTATCTTGACTAGGGAGTAGTTGATCGCAGGTCCTACGAAACATGAGGTCTGGCCGTACATGGTTTCTGGGCGGAGCGTGGCTGGAACGAAGAAGCAAGAAGCGCCTTCGGGTACGGCACCAGCATGAGCCTTTGCGGAATCTGCCCACTTCACAACCTTCATCTTCAGTGCGGTGTATTCCTGGACGGTGACACCTTCTCCCGACTGTCTGTCGTGGTCCATGCATGCTTGGCCATCCTTCGGGCTGTAGACAGTGTAACGCTTTGCGAAGATGATCTTTCCCAAGGCTTTCAGCTTGCGCATCTGCCAAGCAACGAAGTTGTCGTAGTACGGGTTCGCATCGGTGGTGACGAACTGACGTCTCCAGTCTATCCTGGCTCCGAATGCTGTGAGGTCCTTCTTGGCTAGTGGAGGGAAGAACTCGATCCAGTGGTAAGGATCAGAGAACTTGTGGATCTCCTCAAGGGGAATGCCCTGGGCGAGCATAATTTGGAACTGGTACTTTGTCTTGACGGTCTTGGCGTTGGCCTTGCCTTTCGTAGCCTTGAACTTGGTGATGTCGGTCTTAGTCTCGGCCTGTGTTGGCGCTGGCGGCTCTGGTACTGAAGTCTCAACAACATCTTCGACGGGGCAGCGTTCGAAGTTCTGTCCGAACATCTCGACCTCTCGGACCAATTTGTCTGCGCACGCCTTGATTGGCATACCAGTCACATGGTAACCCAATGGGAAGAGAGCGCGAGCACCGGTCATCCTTCTGAATCCAGCGGTGAACTCGACCTTACTAGCGGTGAAACCATGTCCAGCGTGAAGGGTACCGTTCATGTATGGGTATGCAAAGCAACCGAACCATTTGGGGTACTTCTCGTGAAGTTCATCCGGTGTGGTGGTGTCAAAGGGTTCATCTTCAAGAGATGGGGCGTCGGGGTTGAAGACTCCCTGCTCTTCCCATGACTTCTGGTACTTTTTCTCCTCGGCGATCAATGTGTCGCGCTTTTCGGTGTTCTCAATCTTGAGTGTCTTTGACTCAGCCTCTTGCGGCTTGAGCTGCTCTAAAGTTGCGGCGACAGCGCTCTTTGGCGCGTCGCTGAGTTTTGTGGCCTCCGCCATCACGACAATTCCAGAAAAGTGAAGAACGGTCGTAAAAAGAAGGTGTAAAGAGCGCGAGAACAAAAGTGTGGTGTTGTGGAGGGGTGGTGGGAGGATGGTGGCCAGTGCGTGAGGACGGGGTTAGTCACACTTTTTTTCGGTTCGCGCGAATTGTGGGGCGGTCTAGTCGGTGCCTTAACTGTACAGAACGTCAGTCAAGTATCCTCAGGAACAACACCGCGAATCCACAAGTCAATCGAACTCCCCTGTCGCCGTCGTCGAACCGGCAAAGCCAGCGACCATGCTGCGCCTCATCAACCGCCTCCTCGGCCGCCACGAGAACACACTCCCGCCGTTCGACTTCGCGCGCAACAAGTACCCAGCCAAGAAGAAATGGCCGCCGAACCTGCGCGCCCTGACGGAAAAGCAGCAGTTCCGGTTCGAGCGCAAGTTCAAGCGACGCATCAAGGCGAAGTCGATACGGCCAGAATGGAACAAGTGGACCAAGGTGGTGCAGTGGAGCATGATCAGTTTCATCGTCGTCTACGGCGTCTTGTTCCACGACTTCCGCAAGGACCCGATGAACCCAAGGCCGGGCGAGCAGCCGTTTGAGGGATTGAGGAAGAGGATGTGGGGGATGTTTGGGGGGTTCTATACACATACGAGCGAGGAGGTCAGGTCTCCCATAGCGGCGGGAGAAAGTCCAGAACGGAGAGGTAGTCGCGACTAGCCGCTGCGCTGTAGTGAAGAAGGTTAGCATATGGAATTGAAGAAGAAGAATTGATACAATGGCTTGACCTGCGAAGGATCTATCAAGCGATGTGTGGAAAGGGAGATGGGGCAAGTGACTTGGGATCTCTTGGAACAAGATAAATCACCTACCTCCAGACGGGTGGATACTTGGGGGCATATCTCATCCCCCTCGGTGGCCGTGGTAAGACCGCCGGTCTCGGTCCGCGCGACTTGCCAAAGTTAGTCAGTTTGCTAAACGGTCTTCAGTAACAAAAGACACTTACGTCCCACACCCTGTGGTGTTCGGCCCAGAGGGGTTTGACGAAGCACCAGCGCTGGCGGCCGTCCACCTTATCACACGTTCTGATTACGGACTCCGAGAAGTCCAAATAAACGTGGGCGGTGGCCCAGTGCCGGTGCACGCCCGTGGTGCCGTACACAAACCTCAGCTCCACGGTGAAATGAGGCTCCGACTCCTGGTGCCAGCCTTCTCTGACGTACACCTGGGTTCCCGTCGCCCCTTGGGGGAGACGGGCCTCATCCCACCGTCCGAAGGCGAACTGGTCGACGACGGAGGTTCGGTCCCAACGATTGGCCAGATCGTTGTGGATCCCCACCTGGACCTTGGGGTCGATGCCGTCCCGGAAAACAATTCCATAGGCGAACTCCCTGTACCATTGATCAGTATGTATACTTCAGGCTTATACTTGACATTAGATGCAGTAGCTGCTCTCATATCTGAGGTCTCCTGGCTCCAATCTTGAATCAAACCCAATCTTCTGTCCGGTGGATGTCTGCCTCTGGATGTAGTGTCGCTAGTGTGAGAGATAGATCTGTGCCATGCGGTGGTCGAGTTTGAAATCCTTTCGATCTAGCTTCAGCAAGCAACAACCTATTCATCAGTCTCAAGCTCTTCAGGTTGCAGAGCAAAACTTACCATTTCTTCTTCCTCCATCCGCTTCCAAACATACCAAATCTGTTGAGCTTCAATTCCACCTCTTTCTCGCCGTTCATAGCCGTCCAGTCCCCCCTTTCACCTCTAGTGTCAAGCTCATTCCGTCCAACCATATACTCACCCTCCATACCCCCCTTCCTTCACATCACGCACGCACACACGCAAGAAACGCCCAAAAACAAAACAGCAAAAGACCAAAGAAAGACATATCACATACCTCTGCCAATCCGCCCTCCCCCACGCTGCAGGCAGCGTGGCCGCGTCCAGAAAACGCGGGCCAGGCGCCGACACTGGTGGTGGTGGCAGCGGCGGCGGGCCCCCTGGGAGGACCAGCGGGAGGACGAACGGGTTGGCCCCAGGGTTGGCCCCAGGGTTCGCCATGGTGGTGGCAGCGGCAACAGCAGCAACACCCACAAGTGAGCGAGGAGACGACGGGAGGCAGGGAGCAGGCAAAGCAAGAGCGAAGAGACGACAGTGGCAGCAACAGCGGCACGGAAATGGTGGGTGGGTGGGCGTGGAGGAGACGGTGCTGGCTGTTGTTGCTGGAGAGGAGAGGGAAGGCAAGCTGTGGGGGAGATATTATAACATGGCATGGCAAGGGAAGGCAAATTTTCACGGTGACGGTGAAAATCATAACAAGAGCGTTTGCAAGACGCGCGCGTTTCCATGGTGAAGGGAGATGGGATGGTGCGGGGGAGGAGCGGAAAGTCGAAGTGAGCGTGGAAAGGACGATGTAAAAAAGACGTGTAAAGCGCAGAGTGCAGTATAGATGTATGCTCCTCACCTCGCTGAGGAGGGGCATGCTGGATAGTATGACGGGCTTTGTAGACGCCTGGCTAGGGCATGGTGCTCAGTATGACAGAGCTCCGTACTGTTGTAGGCTTCTGGATCAGGTCTGGTGATGTCGTAGATTTAAAGTGAAATAGATGTAGTACTCAATAACCATCATGTTAAGAAGTGACATACAAGGTGTATGCAACATATGTGAAACGATATGAACAAAGTCTACCCATCGTCGTATCAATGAGCAGCGCAAAGATTTCTACTGCGCTTCTCCAATCTACATCATATCACTCGAACCGATAAGTACATCAGATTAAAGATTCGACAAATTCATATATACTCAATGCAGTATCTCTACCCACATTCCGCTCAAGTGAACATGGCCATAGAAGCAGTCCATCCACCATCCCAAACACATACACATGCTAAACTATCTTGCTTACACATCGATCAAGTTGTCATCCTGCTGGCCCTCGCCCGAGTTGTCCTTGGTATCCTTGCTGCCCTTCTTCTTGTCACCGTCGTCACCGCCCCGACTCCTCTGGTAGTATTGGTCGAGCACCTTGGCTGGGATACGGTTGAGGAGTTCCTTGGGGTAGATACGGAGCAGCGACCATGCGAGGTCGAGAGATTCGTGGATGGAGCGCGACTCGTAGGCACCCTGGGCGATGAAGGAGCGCTCGAACTTCTCGAGGAACTCAAGCGATAGCTTGTCTTCTGAGGACAGGGCCTCCTCTCCGACGACGGCCTTCATGGCGGCGGCGTCACGACCAATGGCGTACTTGGCGTAGAGCTGGTTGGAGACATCACCGTGGTCCTTCCGTGTGCGGCCCTCACCGATGGCAGACTTCATGAGACGGGAGAGGGATGGCAGGACGTTGATCGGAGGGTAGATACCCTTGTTGTCGAGCTGACGGTCAATGAAGATCTGGCCCTCGGTAATGTAACCGGTCAAATCGGGGATGGGATGTGTGATATCTGGCGCAATTAGCTTAGCACCGAGTAACAGCAATCGCAGTACATACCGTCGTTAGGCATAGTCAGGATGGGAATCTGAGTGATAGATCCGTTACGGCCCTCAACACGTCCAGCACGCTCATAGATAGTCGACAAATCCGTGTACATGTAACCGGGGTAACCACGACGACCGGGCACTTCTTCTCGGGCAGCGGAGACCTCACGTAGCGCATCGCAGTAGGATGACAAGTCGGTAAGAATGACCAGGACGTGCTTCTCGAGCTGGTAGGCGTAGTATTCGGCGGTTGTAAGGGCAAGACGGGGAGTAATGATACGCTCGATGCTACGCCGGGTTAGCTAGGATAGTAGGAGGGCATGCATGTTCACTTACGTAGGGTCGTTCGCCAAGTTGAGGAACAGAGTGACACGCTCCATACTGCCGTTCTCCTCGAAGTCGCGCGTGAAGAAGCGACTGGTCTCCAAGTTGACACCCATAGCACCGAAGACAATAGAGAAGTTGTCGTCGTGGTCGTCGTGTACACCCTTGGAAGGCTTTCCGACAAGACCAGCCTGTCTGCAAATCTGCGCGGCGATTTCGTTGTGGGGTAGACCAGAGGAGGAGAAGATGGGAATCTTCTGTCCACGGGCGATCGAGTTCATCGTGTCGATGGCGGAGATACCGGTGGAGATCATTTCTTCGGGGTAGACCTACACACTGTCAGTCGCATGAATGAGAGGTATCAGAATAGGTACGTACTCGCGAGTATGGGTTGATGGGGCTACCGTTGATATCAAGGTAGTCCTCGGCGAGCACCTTGGGGCCCTTGTCGATAGGCTTTCCTGAACCATCGAAGATACGACCCAACATGTCCTCGGACACACCGAGCTTCAAGCTGTGTCCGGTGAACTCGACTTTGGTCTACGACTGTTAGATATAGTCCTCTTGTAGGGGACTGGGTGTAGGTACCTTCTTAACATCGATACCAGATGTGCCTTCGAAGACCTGTGTCGCAATTAGATCGAGTTGCCGGGAGTGTTGAGCATGTCGCAATTTACCTGGACGACGGCGCGGTTGCCTGCAGCTTGTGTCAGTGTTTCGGCGCACTATCAGGGTCGGAGTAGCTTACCTCGAGCTTCAAGGACCTGACCAGAGCGCTCGGTGCCATCGGGCAGAGTCAAGGACACAATCTCGTTGTATCGCGGGAACTTGACCTATCCACCACATGTATAAGCTTCGTCTCACTCCGTCTCATGGGTCCAAGCTACGCACATTGTCGAGAATGACCAATGGACCGTTGACGCCTCCAATAGTGTTGTATCGTATCCTAGGCGTCACCGAGATCATGCGGGGGTCGACTACTTCAGGCATCGTGGCGGTAGTGGGCGGTTCGGAGAGGTGTAGTATTTCTCGGCGTTAGATCGAGGGCCGCGGTCGGTCTGTAGCCTCGGAGATCGTTGGGTGACGAAGTTAGAGGTCGGCCGTCCAAGTGGGTTGGGGAAGCTCTGACCAGGATGCTTTAGCGTCTATGCGACAGATGACGCTGGCTGGAGGCTCGGCCTTGGCGCCTCACCATCGCGACAGACGGCCTCGATTTCGCATGAAATGAACATGAGGTGCAGTCTGAGCTGATTTCTATACTGCATGACGGGACAAGTCTTCATGTCAAGGCAAGTAACAAGAAGACGCAATCCTGGGGTTGAGCGGCGCTCAGCAGCGATGAACAGGGTGCAAGAGATTCACGGAAGAACATGGTAAATATGTTTTTCGCAACTCATAGTATCCATTTGCTATATATCGTGTCACACTATCTAGACCCAGACATGCCACCATTTCCATCGTGGTCGCCGACCAAGGGTCTTTCGGGATGCTTACTATCACATCGGAAAGGACATCATGTATCTGTTTGAACTTGTCAGTAATTGCAAAGCAAGATCTCAGCGATAACAGAACAAAGTATGTGAGGGGTCAGACATCCAAGGAAGGTATTCGCGCTCATTGTCCATCGGTCTTAGGTTCGATTGATGGCTAGCGTGGAAACTGCGAATGTGGAAATGTTTCATCATCCCCAAAGGGAGGAATAGTGTGAAGAAAAGAGCGACTGACCTTTAATCATACTAGAGACGCCATGTAGCTGGTGTTAGCTGTCCATCAACGCGCGTACATGTGCATGCCCATGACGCTGCGCTGCAAGACTATTTGAGTCTGCATTACGCGCACGTGTAGCAGTGCGGTCCTCACAGGACTAGTATAGTGTTGTGAAAATCTCGATCTGTTGCGAGTGCGCACGGGGCGGCAAAGTGCAAAAAGGTGCGCGGCGATGAGAGTAAGCGAGTATTACTGTACTGAGCGATGTTAGCCGTCTGACGTGCAAAATTTGCTAAATCGGTCGCGATAGTGATGGAGGTCAGACGACAGTACTGGCAAGTAGCAGGCGCCCGGCGAAGGGCACCCGAACAGCGCTGTTTTCTTCAAGGTCGAATCGGCAAGGAAAAGAAGTTGCTGAAGGTATAATCTTTCCACAAAAGCAAAGAAAAAAGGAGTCGACTTACGTTATAGGGAGAGCTGGCTTCGGGCCTTCACAAAATCGCATGAAGCGGTCCGAAGCCAGTGGTTGTTCGCAGTCTTCAAGACAGCAGAGTGAGGTGGTTGTCGAGAGAAAACCAGAGACGCGGTCGAAGAAAAGTAGAGCGCCGAACTAGCGCGCCGCCAAGATTTCTCTCATCACGTGCACGCCCGAATGGGCAAGGGCATTATTTGGAATCGTCATCCGGCCAGCAAGCATCAGCAAGGCAGGTCAGCGTGGTCGCAAGAGACTGCAGAGAGTGCCCGCCCGAGTGCAGCATAATTCATCACCCGTCGAGCGCGTTGTCCTTGCGCTGCGCAGTGCATATTGAGCGTGAGTTGGAGTCGGGATAGATTGGGCAGCCCAGCCACGCAGCTTTTCGCGCGATACCGAAACGGCCCCCTAACCTGCGCTGATCTTCGGAGAGGGCCATGCGCCCATCACCTCTCACCACACGAGAACTCCACCACTGACGCCCGCGTCCCTGGCACCGTCCCTGGCCCTGGATCTATACTCGCACCGGACCCATCGTCGCATAGCACGGCATCTCTAGACACGTTCGCCGCACTGCCTCTGCTGCCCCCCAGACGGCCCATCTCACGTTCCCACTCCACCGCTCTGCTGGCGGGACGGATGCGACACGATATCACCCGACACGACACCGCGCCAGACGTGGCTGCACACCTCACCACCCCCTCGCCGCTCCTGTGAGTATCGCGCTGCACTTTGCGCGACGTCCTCCGTGACCCTCGCCCTTTTTCCTGTAACCGGCAAGTGCCGCCTGCCGGCCTCATCGCGCCCATCGCGACTTCTGCGCGGGCACTTCCTCAGCCTCCCATATCGGCCACACCGGACCGCACTTCGACTTTCCATCGCGACCACCCAGCACTCTTCAGTTCCCATTGGCATCGACGCGAATTTCCGCGCACGCATGACTTGGACGCTGTAGCATTGCTCCGCCTGTCTCGTCGCCGACTCGGTCGTTCTTCGCATCACGCGGACCCGTCTTCTAATCTCGACACCTGTCGCATCCCTTCTACCTGATCCATTCCCGCGTCCGCGAGGCCACAGCCCGCACTGAAGAGCCGGCAAGATGATGACAACGAGCTATCCACACAATGGGGGCATGCAACCCCAGGGCATGCAGCACGCGCACCCAGGCATGGGCGGCCCAGGCCCACACCCAGGACAGCCTGGAATGCAGCCCGGCATGCAGCACGTTTCCGGTCCCAATGGCCCCGTCAGTCAGGCAGGGCCCATGATGGGCATGCAGCCGGGCATGGGTGCCAATGCGCATGCCCTCTCCCACCTACAGCCGCAGCAGCACATGTTCCAGCAGCAACAGCAGCACCAGATGAGTGAGTACCGCCGCTCCGTACCATGGCAGAGCATTGGCTAACAGAATCGATAGTGAACCCTGCAATGATGCAACAGCAGAGAACTGCCCAACAGGCCTTCATGCACCGTCAGCAACAACAGGCCATGCTTGCCCACCAGCAGGGCGGCATGGGAATGGGGTTCCAGAACCCCATGGCAAACTTGAACCAGGCACAAGCACAGCAGCTACAAGCAATGAGAAATGGGCAAATGGGGCAAGGACCGTTCGTCAATCTTCCTCCCCACTTGCTCCAGCAACAGCAGCAGATGGGCCAGCAACCCGGAGGCCCTCAGCACCAGGCTGCCATGGCCCAAGCAGCCCATCAACAAGCTCAACAGCATCAGCAAATGCAGGCGCAGCAACAAGCGATTGCGATGCAACATGCGCAGTCTCAGTCGAGCAACCACAGCCAGGCAGGGAATCAGGGACCGCCGCCAACCACCCAGCCCCAGCAAGGGCCTCTTCGCCCTCCATCCGCGATAGGGAGTCACCAGGGACAATCTTCGCCAGCTCCTCAACCTACACCCCAACAGCAACCACAACCACCGCCCCCGTCACAGCAACAACAACAGCAACAGGCACACCAACAGCAGCAGCAACAACAGGCTCAACAACAACAGCAGCAGCAGGCGCAACAGCAGGCTCAACAACAAGCACAGCAACAGGCACAGCAGCAGGCGCAACAACAGGCGCAACAACAGCAGCAACAGCAACAGTCATCGCAGCCACCACAATCAGGTCCAGTGCCACAACAGCAGACGCCAGCTCCGTCTCAGCCGCCAAATCTACCTCAACAAGCGAACCAGCAGGCCCAGAACCAAGGTCAGGTACAACGGAATCCGGCACTAGTACAGCAAGCGCAGGCACAGGCGCAAGCGAACGCTGCCCAAAATCAAGCCCGTCAAATGGCCATGATGCAGCAGAAACAAGCACAGAGCGTATCCTCAGGCCAAGGGACGCTTAAGCTGCTGAACTTTGTGGAGCAAATAGGGAACTTCAATGCCTCGAACAACAACATTGAGTGGTGGCAGGCCTTCGTGGATAGGTTCTTCGCCGAGTCTGGGTCTTTCGTCCACGTCGTCTGCTCCTCAAGTACAGAGAGAACGAAGCAGTTCGAGATTGTGTATGCTGCTTTGCCGCGGTACTTCTACACCCTCTTCAACACCGACGTCACCAACTTGCAGATAACTCTAGACGGGGCGGCCGAGAAGACCTCAAACGGTGAGCTCAAAGTGACTTGTGAGCGAGCGAAGTTCATATACACATACAAGAACTCTTGTCAGGTTGTCTACCAAGGCAAGTTGACTGCATTCTGGTCTGGTTCAGACAAGATGGAGTGGTTGGTGTTTGAGGGAGCGAGCCATGAGCAATTCATACCGCTCAATGCGCTGAAGCAAATGTTTGTCCAACCATCGCCGAATCAACTGAACCCCAACCAATCGCCGCGCATGAAGAACAAGAAGCAAGCACAGCAGCAACGGACCATGCCAGAACCACCAGAGGCGTATCTGCCTATCAACAAGTTGATCAGCGCTAGTACTACAGACTATGGTTTGCCGCACGGCTTGCAAAGCTATCTCGAGGTAAGAATCTTCTCCACGTTTCCCTCCTCGGCATTGACACTGACATCAGTTTCTAGATTTACGAGCCAATGAACCACATGTCAAGCTTAATGGTGCACTACCTCGAAAATCCCCATATGAAGCCAAGCGAAGCGTTGGAGTCATGGAACAACAATATGTCGAATAGCCAGGGCGCTCTGCAAGGCCCGCAACACCCGAATCAAGGGCCACAGCAAGGACAAGGCATGCCACCCAATATGCAACCCGGGCCTCGACCAGGAGGGCCTGGCCAACCCGGTCAGATGTTCATGTCGCCCGCAATGCAGAACTCCCTGCTTCCCAACGGATCAATGGGCGGTTCACCTCACTTCCAGCACACACCGTCGCCCAACTCGCAGCCCATGATGAAACAACAGAGCACAAGCTCGCACACCATGAGCTCAAACACGTCTCCCAACATGATGAACAACAAGCGGCGGCGGAGTACAGCCAAAATGGAAAACGATGACGGTGGCGGAGAGATGAACGGCGCGCCAAAGGTCAAGCAAAGTCCAAGAGTCGGGGGTAACAAGAGGATGAAGGCAGGCCAATAGCCTCCATCGCTTGTCCACCTGCCTTCCCTCCTTGCCGGTGCCTCTATGCGATGCCTCGTTCCGCTTTCTTCGCATCTCTATCTCTTGTATAGCGCGGCGTTTGAATCTCTCTCACACTCTCAGTCTCGATTCTCATATCGTGCTCTTCTTGTCTTTCACAAGTCTTTCTCCCTTGGCGTTAGATCTCCACACTATTACCCCATTTCAACTCGGGTGGATCTTTCCTGCTTTGCTTTTGCTTTGCTTTGGCTTCTGAGACTTTTGCTGGCGTCTGGGGGGCGTAATCTTTGCTGTTGTTGTTACTACTGCTTGGTTATCACATTGTGTCTCCTGTTCCATTTTTACCTACCCCTCTGTAGGTTACATAATTCGTTCTTGTACATTATCGACGATGAGGTGGAAGTAAAGGCTGTATAGAACGCAGCTTCAAGAAGGAAAGAAAGAAGTGGTCTTGTTAGGGGCCCTTTTTTGGTGGCTTTTTTTTGGTCTTTGTTTGGAAAGATGGGGGCCTAGTCAGATGATTTATACGGCCCCGTTCAGTGCATAGGCGAGATATGTTGATGTTGAGATTCATTTTTATACGGAATTCAAGACGTTATGACTTCAACTTGCTGTTTGTCATGCTGTGATGCCTATGGGCATTGAGATTATTATCCAGAGTATGCATCCTCGAAAAGACGGCAGTCACTACTAATTCCTCGCGTCGCTCATATCTCAAGGCAGTGGTTTTACAATCGTCTCCTCATCCACAGCAATATCCCCCATCTCCCTAGCAAAAGCCCTCACCCTCGCCAACCTACCCACCACAGCTTTCATCAACGGCCATCTATCACATCCAAGCACAAACACCCCCCACAACTGCGCCTGCAACACCTGCGGCACAAGACACACATCCGCCATCGTCACCTCATCACCTACGCTATACCTCCCCCCACACGTCACCAACATAGCTTCATAAGCATCAAACCCCTCATTCAATTTCAGCCTGATAAACTCTTTCCGTCCCTCTTCCGTCGCACCCGCAACCTCACACAACCTCACCCCATTCCCCCGATTCGCAAAAGGAAACATATCCTGCGTCACCACTGCAACCAACTCTCTCACTCTTGCCCTATCCTCTCTGTTGCCTACCAATGGCATCAACGGACATATCCCCGGAAACATCTCGTCTAGATACTCGAGAATCGCTGTAGACTGTGTAAGTACGAAACGTTGCTTGGTTGAATGTCCTGGTGTGGTGATTTCGTGGATTAGAGTTGGTACGGCGCCGCTGGGGTTTATGGCGAGGTACTGTTTTGTGCCAATGGAGGTGCGTGTGTATTTTTCTACGTCGTGATAGAGTGTGTTGGGTACTTGTTTTAGGGAGAGGGCGATACGGACTCGGCGGGCGCAGGAGGAGCCCTGTCGGTTGTAGAGGTGGTATGTTGATGTTGTGGGTGTGGAGGATTGGCGGCGGGATTCTGGCATTGTGGGAGTTGGGAAAATTGATAGACGCGTGATGTTTTGGTTGTTGGTTCAGATGAGTAGCGTCTTGATATAGGACACTATAATGGGAAAGACGATGTGGGTCTTGGAAGCGGTAGGAGTGAACGAGAGGCCAAGGCGCTAGGTGCTGATGGGTTAGCGCAAGCTCCTACCGCTATTTTACTGCACCTACTCTCATCGCGTCGCTCTTAGTCGTACCTTCAAGTTACACCAAATAAGTACGCCAAACGCCATGCTACCACCAATTGATCCCGCGGTGCTGCAGCGCAATCCCAACTTTGAGATCTTATACAAGGACCTTTGCACGAGGAAGCTTAATCCTAATGGCTCGTCAAGAGACACGAAAAAGCAGCGTGTGCATGATGAGATACGAAGGGTAAGACCTTGTTTCCTTCCTCTGTTCCGAAGATGGTCCAAATATTTACCATGTCCCTGATCTCGTACTTTCGTTCCCTGTTGCTGGAATCTGTTCATTTGTTTGTTTATAATCATTCTATCATGTCTCTGTTTGTCAGCAGGATTTCCCAATTATTTCTCCTTGAAGCCCTCCAATCTACGCATTAAACTGAGTGTTCATACTGAAATCGCATGCTAATCTTCCTCTAGACCCTAGCCACCGCTCTCACAACCCTGCACACAACGCAAATACTCACAACATCCCTCTCAACCCTGCCATCCAAAGCCACCGACCTCCCACCAGACTTGCACGCCGTTACAGAAACCGTAACCGCCCAACTCAACGGCCAAGTTCCAGCACCGGATCTCGACATTCTGTCTGAAGACATCGAGTTCTTCCACTCAAACATCGCTCCCGTCGCCTCGGCAATCTCAACCCAACTCACCACCATAGCCGACTACCTCTGCCGCATCGCCTCTCCCGTCTCCCCACCACCAATCTCATCTCTCCACAGCACATCTCTCACCCTGCAGACCTCCGCTATGGATGGCCTCCCTAGTGAATTACAAACCGCACAAACCCATCTAACAACAACCCTAACCTCCCTCCTCTCAACGCACTCGACCCTCCTCTCCACCGGCATAAAAATACTCGAACAAACCCAACAAGGCGCCCTAGCCCGACACACCAAATCCTCCGCCGATCTCCTCCACACAAAAGCCATCTTACTGGGTCTGCAAGCTAAAACGCACTCGTTGCTACACCCTCCACCAGCGGAATTCGTGGAAGCGCTGAAAGAGTTTAGGAAGGGACTGGGAGGCGGGAAGAGGGCGCTTTGGGATCGCGAGGCGTTGGCGAGACGGGAATTGGAGTTGTATGGGAAGGCGGGGGAGAAGGGAATGAGGGATTTGGCGAGGAGGAAGGAGGGGTTGGGGAAGGAGGTGGAGAGGGTGGAGGCGGAGATTGGGAAGCTGGAACGAGGGGGGTGATGGGTGTGGAGAGGCTGTGAGGCGTATGGTTGTTGTGTTGATGTCTTGATGGCTTACGGGCGATGGGAAGTGTCTATACCTTGCTCTAATACCTAACACAACGCCGTCAAGCGCCAGTTCTTATACACGCTACGCCTTTTCTCTTCAGAAACGCCATACACCAATCGTCCCTATGATCATCCTGGTCCACTTCCCATAGCAAGAACTAGAAGATTTCCTTCTCACAAACGACCTCATACCGTTCATCCAGCACCTCACCCTGTCCTTTCGCACCTCCACTCCAAATCTTCTTCGCGCCCATCTTACAGATACAGACTCTATCCACCCTGACACCCTCCGCCCAGACAAAACCCTTGTACTTCTCAATCAGATTGCGGGCGTCAAAGCGCATCCAACTCTTGCCATCAGGACCATGACCTTCACCGATCGGACGGGATGACTCTGCTGTTGAAGCTTCGGTAGCGTTACCATCTACAGACCCTGCTGTCGACGCGCCATCTTCTTCATTTTCATCGTGGCCATTGGCGCCTGTGTTCCCAGTCTGACCATCCACCCCATTCCCATGATGATTCGGCGAAACCTTACGTTCCACATGCTTGAACCCATCTTTCAACATCCCACTCTTCTCCCTCCCCCTCCCCCCTCTCCCCTTCGGCTTCGCATAAATCGTATTCAAAACCGTAGCATGCAACCTCAACGGCCTGGTATCCTCAACCAACAACTCCCTTCCCAGAAACCTCTCTCGCAGGGCCTCAGCAAAAGGATACAACCGCTGCGACACATCCCTCGGTTCCGCATACAGGATACTCGTTTTATGCGGCGCTTGCATCGGAACCAAGGATTCTAGGTTTATTGTCAGAGCGTCCGTGTCGGGCATGGCGGCGGCATTGAGGTTCTCGGCTATCTCGCCGCTTTCGGCGGCGGCTTCTGCGACGCGGAGGTGGGTTATGTCGCGTAGGAGGGTGTGCAGGTCGAGGTCTTGTAGATACTGCTGCGCTTGATCTAATTGTTGGGGGGAGAGACTCATTACGCCGAGGGTGAGGTGCAGGGTGCCGACTGGTCGGACGGCTTTCGTGGGGACGGGTCCACCTTTTGATAGCTCTTCTTTGAAGTTTTCGAGTCTTTGCTGGAGTTGGGGGCGGCTTGAGTCGGTGACTAGGGGGAGACAGAGGAAGTGTGTGAGTTGTGGTTTCTTTGCGCCGCCTTTGCCTGGTTTCTTGCTGTCTTTCTGGTCTTTTTGTATTGCTGGTGATGGAATGTCTCGAGATGCAAAGCCCTGTAATGTCGTCCTGATCTCGGTGTTGTCGCGCAGCTTCTCGCCATCTAGGAAATCGTTGTATTCGCCTTTCGACTTCTTTTTGCCCATGATTGGTGATGTGGTGTGAAATGCGACAGAGGAAATTTGATCTGAATGAACGTATTGGGCTTTCCTAGCTGCTCTGTTCTTTGCTAGGCAACGAGTGGAGTGCGTAATAGCAGTGGTAACAGTAGTGCGTCGGCTGATTGGTCCAGGCGCAGCTCGATGCAAGACCGCCGCAAAGAGCATGAGAAGACAAGGAAGGCGCGAGAAGCGCAAGGAGCGTCTAAATGAAGGGTTCACGGCAAAGAAAGAGCGATTCTAGGCGCGCCGAACCAAACGCCACATGATCCCACGGCAGCACCGGCAAGACTACCACGGCGGAACCGAAAAAGGGCCTGACGATGGAACCACTCATGGTGTTGACTTTTCATGGGGCGCGGTCTTGAGCCTATCAAAGCGTGCTTTCCAACCTATCAGACGCAACACCAAGTTCGGCAACGCCATGTGCGAAGAGTGACGTAGGTCCCGAAGGTGGGGTGAGTGACATGCGCCGCCGCTGGGCACACGTTCGGCCCTTCACCCGTAGGGCTGAGGAATGTTCCATGTCACGGAGTATATAGTTCAGAGAGGGGTTAGCATGGTATTAGTTCCAATGGATGATACTTGTCTAAAGTATTTACAGCTGCATTGCGGTCATGTGAAGTGTTACTCTGCGCTTGAGCAACAACACATTCATCATGATGACAGGGAGAGTTAACATTCATTCGTAATCTATGCAAGTGCGATGGAACCAAATAGACAAATTGAGGGCAAGCTATGTAGAGTACTGGAATTTCCTCGCTGACCCGATGACGGCATGTACACAAAAGGCGCTCCTAGGAACGTGAAATGGTGAAATGTCGCGCAGGAGAAAGTTCGTCAAGGATGAGGAAGTGTCGCGGTAGAGCGGAAAGCCCGGAGTCGCAATTGTCGCTCCGTGAAGCGTACGGTCCTAGACTTGGCTGCTACCGATACCGACTCCTCCCAGCTGAGCGTGGCGAGTGCGAGACTGGTGTGCTCGCGCCGTAGCTCTGGCTGACGCGGTCTCTATTTCTTTGCCGCAGTAGGGGAGGGCGCGGCTTCTTCTTCCGCCTCCTCCTCGTCGCCCTCGTCCTGGTAGAACTTCTTGAGGATCTCCTTGACGTCGGTGAACTCCGTCTTTGCCTGCTTGATGATCTTGGCCAGGTTCTCCTGCGCCTTCTCCTCTGTTATGTCCTTGGTGCCCGCGTCGTCCTTGAGCTGGCCGTAGTGTTGGATCTTCTCGCACGAGTCTTTGACTTTGGTGAGGCCGAGCGTGGCGGACGAGCCCTTGAGGAAGTGGCCTAGCTCACTAAGCTCCTTGAGGTACTTGCCCTCCTTCTTCTCGCTGGGTGGCGTTAGTCGTCGCGCGCATATCGCAGGGCGCGCATGGGGCACTCACAGCTCCTTGTCCATCTTCTTGAAGGTCTGGTCGGCCTGGCCAAAGAAGTCGTAGACGATGCTTTTGCTGAACTCGCGCTCGACCTCGTCCTCGTCCATCTCGAGAATCTGCTCAAAGGTGGCTGGGTCGATCTGGTCCTCGGCGCCAGGGATCGACATGATGTCGCCGTTCTGTGGGGGCAGTCTTAGGTTAGGAGGTTGAGTTATAGATAGGCGCGTGTTGCGATGGTGCAGTAGAGACAGCAGGCGGATGACACGTGCGGAGAATTGCAGACATGGAGGGGCCAGGCAGGAGCAGGCAGGCAGGCAGGACATGGAGGGGCAGCACGAACCTTGTCGTCGGTAACCGACATGCTGAACAGGACGCAACAGCAAATCCGATTTACGGGAAGCGCTCTTCAACCTCGCGGGATGCTGTCGACACCTTCGTGTACTGGCGTCGCAGCGCTTCAATGCTCGTGGCGCGACGGTGACGGATATTTTTTCGCGCCTCAGTAGTGGGCCGTGCGGCTGTCCGATTCACTGGCTGCGGCTCGATGGGGCTTAGTGGATGACGAAAGGGTCGGCCCGTTGTTGCTGTGAGCGCCGTTGTTAGAGCTGCTGTCTTCTGCAGAGGGCAATGTCTCGGGACGCAGGGCAGAGTGGGAGATGTGAGTGTGACTGCTACGCTGCCTACCGAACTACTACGTACAGAAGCCCTCTTAGTCTAGTCAACCCCTCTGCTCGTTTAGTCGCTATAGTCTCGACGGAAGCGGCTGCCGAGGGAAGCGACAAAGCTATCCTGTTCGCGGTAGATTGGGACGACACGTCGAGTCGGTGAGATAAGAAGAAAGCAATTTGTGGCACTGGTGGTCACGGGCACGCTGCTCATATACAGCCGCGAGGGTTCTAGAAGTGAGATTGGCGATGTCTGCATCACCACAAAAGAGGGGGGCCACGGAATCATAGGCACAGAAATAAGGCCTCGCTATATGTGGGTGGATACCTCGACGTCAATCGGCAGCCTTCACTCGCCGTGGATCGCCTGTCACAGAGCCAACTCTGCCCTCTTCCAGCGGCTGACTGGCGACCATGCCCCCCATCGCCCTCATCGGCTGCCCGGCCAAAAGTAAGGTAACGCGCCCGGGTCGTGTGTGGAGTCTGCCCTCTGACCTGGCAGCTTGCCCGCACCGTGGTATCTTCTGCGGCTGATGGGGCTAGTTGCGACCCTCGCTCGCACCGCTTTGTCCCGTCGGCAGAGCAGACCATGGAGTGCGCAAAGACTGGAAAATGAGTGCGGTTGACAGGGCGCCAAGAAGGCCTGGAAGCGTTCGAAAGTCTGCCATTTCCCGCTGTTGGAAGGGGCAGGGCGGGGTGCCAGCGTACGAATATAAAGAAAGACGAGGGTTGGTTTTCGTCGTGAGAACAACGACGTCACTCCGCCAGCCATCGTCATCGTGCATGCTCACCCGGACCCTGAAAACTCATTTGCTGGGTTGGGCTAGCAGCATGTACCGCGCACAAATACCTCGACAGGTCGCCGTTGGATTCCATACGTTGCGCGCTCTCAACGGCCGTGTAGAGGTCCTATTAAGACAATTCCAACCTTTGCCAGCAAACGCGTCTTGGAAACGAGTAAACGCCATAGGCCCGGGCACCCACTCCACAGACAGGCATGCACCTTGGACCCTGACCTCTTTTCTCGCAGAAACCTGCAATGCACCTGAATCATGCTCGTTCGTCCGGCCTCCTCCGAGCTGCAAAGCTTCGATACTTTCCTGTTGCTGGAGCAGGGGCTACGGATGACGGAAGCAATAGTGCGTAGAGGCGTCTGGGATCAGCGTTCGTGATGCAGGCGTGCAGGACAAGGAACCTGCGGATCGCAGCTGCAGGGTCACTGAGTGGAGTAGTTAGCGTGACGGTTTCATCGGTACGGTCACTTGCTGAACGATGCGGTGTGCGGTACCGGCGCAACTTGTCGAACCGTGAAGCACACAAAACTTGGCTTCGTTGTTTTCGGAGACCTTGGCGCGACACAAACCGAAGCAGCTCCGCCTGTAGGCCTTGAACACCCTTTTGGTATCCCGCATATGCAAGTGAGTGAAACCGGACAGGTAGGCGTGCGTTTGTCATTCGCGATCACGATGTCCCAGCGCACGGGAACTAGCGTCATTGCACAGTGCTGTGCGAGTTTCCAGCGATACTATGCTAGGTAATGATCTGTATATTACCGATGAACTCGCAAACGACAGGACCAACCACTCGTGGGGTGTGGGGATAAAGTGGGTGAAGTCTGAGTGGGAACAAAACTTCGGTGAAGGATTGGAGGATCGACCAAATTAAACGAATCAGGTACTTCGATCCGAGAACACAAAAGACGGCATGAAGGAGGTTGTAAGATCGTGAGCCGTTTCATTTCTCGTATGCTTTTTCATTGTATAATCTAGCCGCCGATGCTGTCTGCACGGTACAATGCTGGCGCCATGTTATGTCACAAGGTTCGCTGAATCACGGAAGGAAGTAGAAGACTGTCATGACGATCCTAACCCTTGACCTTGTAGATGGCCTCGGCCAGGCGGCCGACGTTCTCGCTGGTGATACCCGCGACCGAGATACGGCCGTCCTTGGTAGCATACACTGAGTGCTGTCATGGCGGTTAGCGCTGCTGATGTCAAGATGGTTGCAAAACATAAACTTACCTCCTTCGCTAGCTTGTCCATCTGCTCGGCTGTCAGACCAGTGTAAGCGAACATGCCAATCTGGGAGGTGATGTGGCTCCAGTCGTGCTTGCTGCCGAGCTTCTCGAGGTTCTCCTTGAGGAGGGCACGCATGGTGATGATGCGGTCAGCCATGCCCTTGACCTCACCGAGCCATTGCTTGTTGAGGGAAGCGTCGTTCAGAATCTCAGAGGCAATGCGGGCACCGTGAACTGGGGGGTTAGAGTACAATGGGCGGACAAGGATCTTGATCTGAGAGTCAACGCGCTTCTTCTCGTCGGCAGACTCGCAGACGATGGAGAAGGCACCAACACGCTCACCGTAGAGACCCATGTTCTTGGCGAAAGATTGGGCCAGGCAGGGGCGGAGACCCTCCTTGATGAAGTGACGGAGAGCGAACGCGTCCTTGGTGGTGTCACCACTGGCAAAGCCCTGGTAGGCCATGTCGAAGAAGGGGTAGTGGTCGCCAGCCTTGACAGCCTCAGCGATCTGAACCCACTGCTCCTCGGTAGGGTCTACACCAGTAGGGTTGTGGGCACAGGCGTGGAGCAGAACGATGCTGTTCTTGGGCATGGCCTTGATGTCGGCCACCATGCCGTCAAAGTCGAGGCCAATGGTGTCCTTGTTGTAGTAGCGGTACTTCTCGACCTTGAGGCCGGAGTCCTTGAAGACGGCGTTGTGGTTGGCCCATGACGGCGTGGGAATGTAGATGGCCTTCGCGCCGGGGTAGTGGCGCTCGAGGAAGGCACCACCAATGCGGAGGGCACCGGTACCGGAGATGGTCTGGGTGACGGCGATGCAGTCGTCGTTGAGGGGCGTAGAGTCGGCGCCGTATGCGAGCCTGAGGGCAGCCTTGGTGAAGTTGGGGACACCGGTGATGCCGGCGTATTCCTTGTCGAGCGATGACTTGACAATCTTCTCCTCTGCTTCCCTTACGGATGGCAGGACGTAGGGCTTGCCCTTGTCGTCACGGTAGGCACCAACACCTGTCGATAGCTGTCAGTCGCGCCTTCCATGTCGGATTGAAGAGCTTATACTAACCCAAGTTGATCTTCTTGGGGTTGCTGTCGGCCTTGAAGGCTTCGGTGATACCTAGAATGGCCTGAGGCGGGGCGGTGAGCTACGGTATGGCCTATCTTATCAGGAGCTGTACTTACATCCTGGGGGTCAGTTAGCTCTGGTGAAACACGACTGGGGCCCAATTGCTTTTGCCACTTACTGGAGGACCCTGCGGTACCTGCGACCAAGCGGAGACAGCTCGGACGCTGGTCCTGAGGGACAGCTGCTTAGTCGCCGCCTGGCGCAGCGCCGTTCTTGATGACGCGAGCATGGTTGAGTTGTGTGCGGGGTGGAAGGGAGTTGAGGGGCAGCGTAGAGGGAGAGAAGAGGATGATAGAGCTTCCCGTAGACTATTGTAGTGGGTGGTCTGAGCAAAATACCCCAGAAAAGCAATAAACTCCCCGTCGCCCGTTTCGCGGGAGAGCTTCGATGACTCGGGGCAGCCACGATCGCCTCCGATTCGCTTAGCCGAGGCACCCCTGCTAACTCCGGCGCCCTTCACTAATTTTCATGGCAAACTGGCGCGTCGCGTGGGTGAATTGATCTGGGTTGACATTCAGTAAGACTTCTCGAACACTATGCGGCCAGCTCTAAGGCAAGCCAGGACGCTGCTGAACCATGAGACCTCGGTACCCCTCTTCCTCTGTCCCGCACTGGTCAGAGCGCCCATAGCCTCTCATCGCCGCCGAACGCCGCAGAAAGAACCTCTGAAGAAGTACTCGACTCTCGTAACCCCGCAAGACCAAGTCAACGTCACTGTCCCTCCTTCCGACACCGGCGATGTTCCTCCCAGTAAATCCCCACCAGACACATCCTCAACCCAGAGATCACTGCCACGGGCATGTCCGGGATGTGGTGCGCCATCCCAGATATACAACAAGAGGGAGGCCGGCTACTACGACGTAGACCGCAACTCGATACGGGAATACCTTGACGGTATCCAAAAGGCAAAAGAGGCGACTGTCGAGGACGACATATATGCCAAGGCGCTCAAGAATGTGAATCCTGAGCTGCTCGGAGAATTAGGGCTTCAGGACGAAAGCATCGAAGCACAGCCAGAGGACGAAACGCCGTCCACGCCCGTCTGCGACCGATGCCACAACCTCCTGCACCACCGCAAAGGATCGCCTATACACCACCCGACCGTCGAATCCATACAGCAGACCATCGCAGAGTCGCCCCACCGCCGCAATCACATCTACCACGTCGTCGATGCCGCCGACTTTCCGCTCTCCATAGTCCCAAACCTCCAATCGTCCCTGCGGATACCCAAACTTCGGACTCAGAACCGACGCGCAAAACACAAGGGATGGGTCGCCAATGATCGCATTGCAGAGGTCAGCTTCATCATCACGAGGGCTGACCTGCTTGCGCCAAAGAAAGAGCAGGTGGATGTTTTGATGCCATACGTCCGAGACGTGCTTCGAGATGCACTGGGGCGACAGAACGCGAATGCGCGACTGGGCAACGTGCGGCTTGTGAGCGCAAAGCGGGGATGGTGGACCAAACAAGTCAAAGAAGACATCTGGGAGCGCGGAGGTGCAGGCTGGATGGTCGGAAAGGTCAACGTAGGAAAGTCGAACCTTTTCGAGGCTGTC